CGTAAATCACGAAAGCAACCGAAATTTCGAAATGGAATGAAATGAAAACAGGGACGCTGTTTGCTTGTGATATTTGTTTCTCGAGTGACTTCCCCCACGCAGAGAGACATGCAAACAAATGAAGACTTGACTCACCTGCCCGGTCTCCGAGGCCTTGGCGTGCGCGCGTCCTCCCGACCCCTCCCTCCCCTCCCCCGCCGCATGGGTGCGATGCGGTGACACCAGCAGCCCCCTCGGTGCAACCCCCCGTGCCGCCCCCCGCCGCACCCCTGGCCCCGCCCCCGGCCGTGCCAGCTCAGCCTCCAGTCCTCGCGGCCCCCGCTCGGGGGCGGCCCCGGGGGTGGCCCCTGGGGCGGGGCGGAGGCCACAGTGCTCGCCGTCATGGAGGCCGTGCTGGCCGAGGCCGCGCTGGCCGGCGGGGCGGACTGGGGCGCGGGGACCGAGGAGGCCGTCGGCGTGGCCACCGGGACAGCGGCAGGGGGCGCCCGCCGCCGCGGAGCTCGGCGATGGACGAATAATCCTGGAGGGCCTCCACGGCGGTCGAGGGATCCGGCGGCACTTCGGAGCGCCGTCGTGGACGTCGTCGCGGACGTCGTGGAGACGGTGACGCAGGTCGCGCTAATCCACACTGCACTGCACTGGCGGCTATCCTCGCACTTCGTCGTCGTCCAGCTCGTCGTTCACTGCGTGCTGCCGGCCACGCACTGGCCGCGCGACCGCCGCCGTCTCCGCTGATGTATCTTCCTGAAGGAGGTCACCGTCGGCGTGGTCCTGGCCGTCGTCGACATAATGCGGGGTCCGCCAATCACTCACACAGGGAACTGGAGCGGACCGCGTCCAGCCTCCGCGGTCCTGCCCCGCGCATGGCGGGCCGCATGCCCCCGGCACACGCGCACACACACACACACACACACACACACACACACGCACACACACAAACGCACACAAAACCCACACGCGCACACGCGGTATCACTTTTCTCGAATGTCACTGCTTGTGCCTCGGGCTGCGCCTTGCTGCGCCGGGCTGCGCGCGGCTGGCGAGGACGTCGTGGACTGGTGCAGGTCTGCAGGTGTCGGGGTGCCCGCCGTGGCCCCGCTGGCCCTGCTGGGTACGCGTCGCTCCGCGTTGCCCCGCGTTGGCACCGTTGGCGGCACGGAGCGGAACAGAGCCCGGCCAGCTAGCCAGCTCCAGCGCCCCTCCACCGCCAGTCAGCACGCCCTGCGCACGCCCTGCGCACGCCGCACGGCACGGCCAAGCAAGGCGCAGCAAGGCGGGTGTGAGGTGACACTGGAAAAAAATGTGCAGGAGACTGAACGGGGGCGGTCCGGCCAGTGTTTCGCACACTCTTTTGCTCCTGGAAGGATGGCGAGGAGACGCGGGCAGCAGAATGACTCAGAGAGTTGTTTTCGTCGCTCTGCCTCTCTCGCACTCATGGGGCGTTCCCAGTATAGGCGCGAGAGAGACAGAGCTACGACAACGACCCTTGGAATCAGTCCACTGACATCGGTATACGTTCATGCGGATCACCCGCTGCAGGGGTTGGGATTGGGTGAGTGCGAAGTCCATTGCAGCTTGGCAAGGGGATCTTGTTGGTGCGGTTGACAGCAAAGAGCCGGAGAAAGCCACTGATCAAGCAAACAAAAGGCTACAGGTAAAATTAAAAGCGTATCAAGAAGTCAGTTTTCGCTTGACATGAAGCATGGCCTCATCCGCTCAAATTCCCCCAGTCTAAATCCGAGGAGGACTTACTTCTCTATGCTTCCCTTTCAAGCGCACCGGTAACTTAATGCTTGACTGAAACGCGCCGTCAGACTAGTCTAACCCGCGCTTCGACCCCTCAGGGGCACTGTGCGAAAAAACCACAGTGAATCCCGTTAATTTTTTTGCCGGGATTTACTGTAGTTCAGAACACAGGATTTTGCCGTGCCTGGCTACAGTATCTACTGTACCTGGTACAGGATATTCCGTACTCCACTCCTGAGGTACAGTAAATCCCGTAGAAAGTACAGTAGATTCTGTTAAAAAAGTACAGTAAATCCTGTACTCTGAACTACAGTGACCGCTGTACTAATCACTACAGGATTTACTGTGATTTTTTCCCACAGTGGGGTGTGGCTGAGATAGGTCCTCGGCGTGGTCGCGATGCACACATATGGCGCTGCCGCCTTGTTACCACGGGGCAGCCTTTCCCTGGCCTGCCCGCGCTGCTAGGGCTGTGCGGTTAACCGGTTAACCGGTTATTGCATTCGGTTATTTCATTAACCGGCCGGTTAAGTTAATGCCTTTTCCGGTATAGGTTAACCGAATAACCGGCAAATACGGTTAACCGGCCTTCGGTTAGCCGGTTTTCCGTCATGCTTAGTTGCATCATTGTTTCGGGAGACCACATATATACTTAATTAATATGGAGATTTCTAATTTTGATAATAAAAACCTGTATATAATCCAAAGGTAATTGTATTTTTTTAAATGCCCCGATTATTCTATCGTGTTACACGCAATTTGTTTCGTAAAATTTCATTTTTTTTTAAACTAACCGGTTATTTTGTGAAATTGCAATAACCGGTTATTGTGATTTTCTTTAAAAACCGGTTAATTTTGACAAACCGGTTAACCTGGAAAGTATCCGGTTATTTCGGTAACCGGTTATTCGGTTAGAATTCCAATAACCGCACAGCCCTACGCGCTGCCCGCCCTGCCCTAGTGGGCCCCGCCCGGCCCGGCCGCCCCCGAGGCGTCGCTGACGCACCTGGAGGTGGCGGTGCCTGCCCTGACGGCGTGCCCCGCCGTGCCCCTAACAAGGCAATTTGAGCGCCGGTCCAGAACCTCGCGTGGCGGCCCGGCGCTTGGCTTGGCGCTTGGCGGTAGGGCGCCTGAATCCCTACGCGCGGAGCACGCCGGAGCATCAGACTGATTCCGAGAGTCGTTCTGGTCGCTCTGTCTCTCTCGCCCTCGTAAGGCGCCCCCTAAGGGTGCGAGAGAGACAGAGCGACGCCACTCAGTCTGCGGAGCGCAGACAGAGGGGCCGCAGGCTGCCGCATCAAAGTGGGGGCGTGCACGGCGGGGCTCGGCGGGGCACGGCCGGTGTCGACACACCGGCCAGCACGACACGACGCGACTCGACACGGCACCGGGCGGCGCTTCGCGGCACGGCACGGCACGGCCTGATAATACGGCCGCAAGTAGAGCGACGGAAAACGTTTCGAAAGCCATTCCGATTTTCATAGCAATCCGCGCGGCGCGCCGCCTGCAGAGAACGACGCGGCCAACGACGGCGCGACGGAGTCTGCACGCCGGCTGGAAAGTACTGTTGGAACAGTTTCTCCGAAAATTCCCGGACGGAAACTGTGTGCGTGTGTCTCTCTCTCTCTCTCTCTCTCTCTCTGTGTGTGTGTGTGTGTGTGTGTGTGTGTGTGTGTGACAGCGTGTGAGTGCGGCGCGCGTCATTGGGTATCTCCTCCTCCTCGTCCGCGTTAAAGAGAACGCCGGCCGGCCAATTACCCTGACGTCGCGGCGCGCCCCGCCAACAACAGGGCCTCGCTGGCCATGCCGGCCTTGCAGCACAGTGGGCCAGAAAATCGACGCCGGCGGCCAAAACTCTAGACGCGTTTTGAGCTCCAGAGTCGCTAAACCGGGCTCGAACCGAACGTGTGACCCCATCAATGGAACCCTCGTTCCGAGAGCAATCCATTGGTGTGGTCACACGTTCGGTTCGCTGGAGCTGGAAACGCGTCAGGGATTTCGGCCGCGCCTCCGCCGGTCTTCTGGCCCACTGCGCGCCGGGCATGCTCATGCTGGCCATGCTAATGACGGCCGGAGGCCCTGGAGTGGCTGAGGGACGCCGCCATTGTCGGGCCGCTCTTGAACTTGGCGGCGGGTTCGCACGGTGTGCCTTGCAGTGTGCCGCCACGCCGCGCGGCGGGGCGGGCTCATTCCGAACAACAGTGCGCTTCGCCGCGCGCTGTCTCTCTCGCACCCCTACGAGACGCCCCGGGAGTGCGAGAGAGACAGAGCGACGGCGACGGCACACGCCACTCTGTGTCCAGCGGGGGCCTTGCGATTCTTGATTCGCCGCTCTATTCGGCGTTCGGACTGCCCCCCCCCCCTTTTCCGACGGAGATTCGTCAATTATTGTGCGTGGTTCAAGGAACCGTGGAAAGGAACACGAAACAAAGAAGGTCCTCTTCGTCCGGCCGGTAATGGAAGAAGAATGGCAAGCGGCCTGCTGCTTTCGCGGGGTCCCGAGACCGCCATTCCGTTTCGCGACTCTACAGTGTGCCTTGTTGAGGGCAAAGATGGCCCCGGCCGGAGTCGAGAGAGTTTGTTTTCCGAAAGGTTGACCGTGCTCAAGTTTCACAGCACTCGAGCATATGAAACAGCGAAACCACCAGCCGCCCAAGGGTACACGTAGCAAAAATAAGCAAATCCTCACTTTTCCAGACTTTCTACAAAATAAAATGTATTTCTGAGATAATTTTTTAAAAAATTTCGTCAGTACCTTTAGAGTTACAGCACAGCAAATACAGAGGTCGATCCTAGATCACAAGGTGAGTTAAGTCAACATAAGGCTTTATTGACGTAAAGATGGGTCATTTCCAAGTCACTTTGACTTCCCTGTTCTGGGTCATAGCCATCGACTTACTGCCTGAGAGACTGAGCCACGCGGCTTCCCTCACTGTGACTTCACCCTGCCCAAGTTTGCCAAGGCCGCGTCGCGTGGCTGGCATCGATCCTCAAACACTCTCGGCAAACGTAAAGACAAACGTCGGGCAATCATCGGAGCGCGTGTCTTTGCCGCCGACTGCCCAGTCGTGTTTCCGTCGCTCTGTCTCTCCCGCACCTACGGGGGCCACTGGGTGCGCGAGAGACAGAGCGACGAAAGCGACTCTCGGAATCAGTCTGGCGGTGTGCCCGACCGCATCATCGCCAAGGTGTTGACCGTGGCCTTCCCTGGCGGCGCCGCCGCCGACAGATAAGGCTTGCGGGGGTGGCTCTGCTCGCGCAGCCTCTTGAACGCCTCCGCGAACGCGTCTCGCTCATTTCCGATGCGCCAAACAGCGTGAGAGCACGGCATGAGACTGCTGCTGCTGCTGCTGGGCTTGGCGCGCGCCCTGATCGCCACCGAGGGCCTGACCGCGGCGACCAGGGCGCCACCACCGCGGACGGGTGAGTCCACCACAGCCCGTCGCCGTGCGTCCAGCAGAGCAGTGGGTGCGCGCAGTGGGCCGTGGAGGCGGTCAAAATCCCGGACGCGTTTTGAGCTCCAGAGTCGCTAAATGGGACTCGAACTAAACGTGTGACCCGACCGGTGGATAGCTCTCCGAATGAGGAATCCATTGGTGGGGTTACATGTTTGGCAACGCGTCCGCCATTATGACCAATCTCCAGCGGCCCTCTGGCCCACTGTGCGGTAGCCCCGCTGTTGCCACCGAAAGGACTCTTATCTGCATCGTGCCAGTGTGGCGCATTTGTGCGAGCGTGTGTATGTTGTGTGTGCGCACGCGTAGAAAAGGGTTCAGTACCCGGAATAGTGGCATAGTCGTTGAGATAATCTAATGCGAAAATCAAAGTGGGCTTTCACGGCCTTTTACATTGTCGCAACGAGTGAATGAATGTTGGCATGAAAAACCGACCGACCCGCGTCCCCTTGGAGCCTCGACGGCCATTTTCTCAGCCTGAGCCCCAGCTGAACCCCCAGGGGTTCATCTGGGTCCCAGGATCAGACCAAGTTTGGGTTGGGGTTCCATTTTGCTGAAACGGTACGGAGTACAGTGGGCCAGAAGACCCGGTGCCTGCGGCCAAAACTCCAGACGCGTTTTGAGCTCCAGAGACGCCAAACAGGACTCGAACCAGGTCGTGTGACCCCACCAATGGATTCCTCGTTCAGAGAGCAATCCATCGGCGGGGTCACACGTTCGGTTCGAGTCCTGTTTGGCGTCTCTGGAGCTCAAAACGCGTCCAGAGTTTTCGCCGCCTCAGTAGAGAGAAAATAGGGTTACGGGGCGCGGGTTCGCGCAGATCCACGCCCCGCAGCGACGTGCGGGTCAGCGCCCTCTACTGTCCGCAACGGTCTTCTGGCCCACTGTACGCCTCGTCCTTTACGTCTCCCTATTCTAAGCTTTGAGATGACGCTGCCCAAATCGCGACACGTTCTACCGGGCCAGCAACGGTAGGTGCCGGCGCCGCCCAGGGTCATGGTGGTTCCTGCCGCGCGCGCTTCGCGTTGATAAGCACGCCGACGGCTCCCGCCCGCCGCGGGCCGCGCAGTCGCCCGGTAGTCCCCGCGTCGCTTCGGGAAAAGTACCACACTGATAAGGCGCCTCGGACGAGTCTGGTGGGTTTTCGAGTCTCGCCGAAATTAATCGCAGTCACTGCAAATAGAAGAAAGTGCAGCCTGAACTGTACAGTGTACACGCGCGGGGGAAGTGCTCCTCAATTGCAGATAGCAACGCGTAGCAACGCCACGGTTCCAGGGAGACGGCACCCACGGCTAAGGCGATACCCCCTGCTCGTTCCGCTGCGTGCGCAAGCTCGGAGTATCTCCAGGGCGTGGGTGCGGGGTAGCGACGCCCCGCGCATCTCCTCTCCTCCCTCGCGAAAACACGTTCTGCCAGCAGACTGACTTCCAAGCGGGTTGGTTCGGTCTCTCCTACACCCTTACGGAACGCCCCATGAGTGAGTGAGTGAGTGAGTGACAGCGAGAGCGAGAGAGAGAGAGAGAGAGAGAGAGAGAGAGAGAGAGAGAGAGAGAGAGAGAGAGAGAGAGAGAAGGGGGGGGAGACCTGGCAGCCCAATCTCGGAGGCATAGACCTACACGCTTGAAATCTCAATAAAGTGTTTTGAGCCGAGCATATATAGGGTACAAACAAACTATTTAGCTTGGGTCACGAAATTACGAGGTATTGTTACGTATGATCTGAATACTTCGCTTTGACTGACCACTTTTCTTTGTAAGGCCTTTGCCACATTTTGAGAGCGTGCCGTTGCAGGTCCCCTGCTGGAGAATGCCGTGACTCCAGCGGCCTGGAGCCGAGTCAAGGCCTGGCGCTTCGAGGAGAGCACCCCGAAGGACTGGCTGCCGCCCGACGAGGGCTTCCTGGAGATGCCCAAGCCCAAGAAGGCGGCGCCGAAGCCTCCGCCCAAGACGGCCGTGGCCAAGCTGGTCGGGGCACTGCAGAAAACGACGACGAGGAAGCCGCCGACGAAGCCTCCAGGGCGGTCCAGCACGCCGAGGAGGCCGACGACCACCGCGCGGCCCGTGCGGAAGGCCCGCAGCGCGCAGGTGCGCCGCATTGACAGACTGATTCCGAGAGCCGTTTTCGACGCTCTGTCTCTCTCGCACCTATTCGGCATGCCCCATGAGTGCGAGAGAGACAGAGCGACGAAAACGACTCTCGGAATCAGTCTGCGTCAGTTGTTTTGTATTCAATATTCAACGTGACTCTAGCTCAGTGGTTCTCAACCTTAGGGTCGCGACCCCAAGCGGGGTCGCGAAATTTTTTTAAGGGGTCGCGGCGATGCTGGGGTCGTGTTTTAGGCCGATTTTAAGCAGCCACTGCGTCTGATCCGAGGCGGGCATTTTGCTCCCTCAACGGGCAATCGGTCTTTGGACCTTCCTTTAGCATGCCTTTGTTACGGAGTGCAATTATCAGTCTTAGTTTGGGAGCAGTATTGTCTCAAAGTTGGCCGAAACGGTCAGCAGTGTCTTTGAAAAATCGTGTTTTGGGCCGATTTTAAGCAGCCACTGCGTCTGATCCGAGACGGGCATTTTGCTCCCTCAACGGGCAATCGGTCTTTGGACCTTCCTTTAGCATGCCTTTGTTACGGAGTGCAATTATCAGTCTTAGTTTGGGAGCAGTACTGTCTCAAAGTTGGCCGAAACGCTCAGAAATGTCTATAAAAAATCGTATTTTGGGCCGATTTTAAGCAGCCACTGCGTCTGATCCGAGGCGGGCATTTTGCTCCCTCAACGGGCAATTGGTCTTTGGACCTTCCTTTAGCATGCCTTTGTTACGGAGTGCAATTATCAGTCTTAGTTTGGGAGCAGTATTGTCTCAAAGTTGGCCGAAACGCTCAGAAATGTCTTTGAAAAATCGTGTTTTGGGCCGATTTTAAGCAGCCACTGCGTCTGATCCGAGGCGGGCATTTTGCTCCCTCAACGGGCAATCGGTCTTTGGACCTTCCTTTAGCATGCCTTTGTTACGGAGTGCAATTATCAGTCTTAGTTTGGGAGCAGTATTGTCTCAAAGCTGGCCGAAACGCTCAGAAATGTCTATGAAAAATCGTATTTTGGGCCGATTTTAAGCAGCCACTGCGTCTGATCCGAGGCGGGCATTTTGCTCCCTCAACGGGCAGTTGGTCTTTAGACCTTCCTTTAGCATGCCTTTGTTACGGAGTGCGATTGTCAGTCTTAGTTTGGGAGCAGTATTGTTTTAAAGTCGATCAAAACGGTCGCAAGTGTCTTTGAAAAATCGTTGTGACTATTTTGGTCAACTTTGAGACAATACTGCTCCCAAACTAAGACTGATAATCGCACTCCGTAACAAAGGCATGCTAAAGGAAGGTCCAAAGACCAATTGCCCGTTGAGGGAGCAAAATGCCCGCCTCGGATCAGACGCAGTGGCTGCTTAAAATCGGCCCAAAATACGATTTTTTATAGACATTTCTGAGCGTTTCGGCCAACTTTGAGACAGTACTGCTCCCAAACTAAGACTGATAATTGCACTCCGTAACAAAGGCATGCTAAAGGAAGGTCCAAAGACCGATTGCCCGTTGAGGGAGCAAAATGCCCGTCTCGGATCAGACGCAGTGGCTGCTTAAAATCGGCCCAAAACACGATTTTTCAAAGACATTTCTGAGCGTTTTGGCCAACTTTGAGACAATACTGCTCCCAAACTAAGACTGATAATTGCACTCCGCAACAAAGGCATGCTAAAGGAAGGTCCAAAGACCAGTTGCCCGTTGAGAGAGCAAAATGCCCGCCTCGGATCAGACGCCGTGGCATGTTAAAGGAGGGGTCCCGTGGGGTCGCGAAATTTTTCCTGGGGGTCGCGGAAATTTTTGGCTTCAAATTTGGGGTCGCGAGCCGAGAAAGGTTGAGAACCGCTGCTCTAGCTTCAGCCAGGAATGCACGGAAGAATTTTGTGCGGGTATCAACTTAGGCTGCACTTAGGCTGCATTCGATAGCTGCAATCAACAATATGGTGCCCAAAGCAAAAAGCTGGTGCTGGTAATAAGTTTACTTAAATGTGTTTTGTTTTCCACCAGGAGGACGAGGAGCCCGCCAGGTTCGGCCGGCGTCTGATGTCGCTGCCGGACGAGCTCCAGGCCCAGGTACGCATCAGGTAGGACCAGCTGCGCAAACTTCCTTGTCAAAATTATTTGATTTGCATGAAAATAAATCGACACCTCGTCGGAACAAGCGGCTATCTCCAAAGGGAGTGCAGACAAACGGCTATCTGTGAAGGAGCTGCAGACAAACGGCTATCTTTTTGACCCCCTGCAAACAAACGGCTAACTGACTTTTCGGGAGAGGTTAGGGTTGGCCGGGTTCCTTGAGTTTTTCTCAGGTTAGACGCACGTGACAGACTCATGTTGTGTGTCAATCTGCTCTGACAAACTTTTGACATCTGTTGGATAAGGTCAAATTTGACAGGCTCAATTGATTGTAAATATATAAGTATCCAAACTCGGGAAGTGGAGAAAACAGTTAGCCGTTTGTCTGCAGGGGGTCAAAAAGATAGCCGTTTGTCTGCAGCACTTTCACAGATAGCCGTTTGTCTGCACTCCCTTTGGAGATAGCCGATTGTTCCGAGGAGGTGTCGAAATTGGACTTTTTTTTGCGGCTTACTTCTTTTGCCAAATTGTCAACCTGCGCAGAGTGGACCAGAACGCCGCTGGGAGCGGTCGAAATCCCGGACCAGTTTTGAGCTCCACGCCAAATGGGACTCGAACCGAACGTGTGACCCCACCAATGGATAGTTCTTCGAACGAAGAATCCGTTGGTAGGATCACTCTTTCGGTTCAAGTCTTATTTAGCGACTCTAGAGCTCAAAACGCGTCTAGAGTTTTGGCCGCCGGCACCGGTCTTCTGTACAGAGAGCGCCTCGCTGGGTAGGCAACCCATCGCTCACCCGCGCATCGAGTTGCCTACCCTGAGATTCACAGGCGTTACAATCGGCGTGTTCTCTGCCCCGGCAGGCCGTAGTCCGGCGCAAACGGAAGGCGGACGTCTTCTCGGCGAGCCTCTCCTCCATGGAGGGCGTCTTCCCGGGCGGCGCCCAGGACGCCGCCGTCAAGGAAGTCATGATGCTGCGACGCCGGCGGAATGTGTCCGGACGGCGCGAGCGGAGGAACAATCAAGACCAGCACAACAACCACCAGGACAACCACAACGGCCACCAGGACCGCCACAACAACCACCAGGACAACCACAACGGCCACCAGGACCGCCACAACAACCACCAGGACCAACACAACAACCACCAGGACCGCCACAACAACCACCAGGACCAACACAACAACCACCAGGACCAACACAACAACCAGGACCGCCACAACAACCACCAGGACCAACACAACAACCACCAGGACCAACACAACAACCACCAGGACCAACACAACGACCACCAGGACCGCCAGAACGGCCACCAGGACCATCGCAACGACCGCACCCACCCCCAGAACCACCACCACAATCATCACAACGACCACCATCATCACCATGACGACCACCACGCCCACGCCCCTGATTACACCGACATCATCGGTGACCTCCACGACGGCGGCGGCAGCGGGGACGGCAGTGGTGGCGGCCAGCCGGAAGAGGAGGAGGACGAGGACGCGCCTCACCGGCAGGACCCCGGCGGCAGGGCGCAGCTGCCGCAGTGGCCCGACGAAGGCCGCGATCGGCCCCGGGACGGCGACAGGCTCCCCGACGTGGGGCCGGGATGGGCTCCCGGGGAGCGCGGCCCAGGACGCGGGCCTGCAGGACCCCCAGGACCTCCTGGACCTCCAGGACCTCCGGACTCGTACCTGGGGGACGGGGACGGCTTCTGGGGAAACGAGGACGCCTTCATGGGGGACAACAACGCGTTCCACGGCGGAGGGGGTGGTAACCCTAGAGGGAGGGATTCCTACCCAGGCGATGGGGGTGGCAACCCTAGAGGGAGGGATTCCTACCCAGGCCGTGGGGGTGGCAACCCTAGAGGGAGGGATTCCTACCCAGGCGATGGGGGTGGCAACCCTAGAGGGAGGGATTCCTACCCGGGAGGGAGGGATTCCTACCTTGGCGGCGGATCGTGGCCGTAGCGTGTCGGGATGAAAAACGCTCGAAATACACGAAAACCTTTGCCTGAACGATTCCACCCTCCATTGCCCCTCGCAACAGGCAACCCAACTGCCTCCGTCGGCGAAAGTGTGGCCGGCCCCTCGCCTCTCCACAGGGGTCTGCACAGTGCAGCGGACCGCGACCCAGTGCGGACGAGACGAAGAGCAGCCACTGTTAGAAAAACTTTTACATATTTTTGTTATGTTTTTAAGTAACTTTTTTAACGAAATAAAAATGCTTTTGTAGTTTGCTTTTACAGTTCAGTTTTACGCATCAATAATTGTGGGAAATGAAAAGACGGCGATTAATTAGGTTCAAACGGTTCAAAAATTTTGCGAAGGGCATAAAACTGCAGGCTGACGGTTCCCGCCGCGCCACGCCGCGCCCCCTTGTCTTGGACAAGGCTCTTGTCCTTTCCGAGTGCCTCCGGGCCGCCGCCCGGCCAACGCCCAAAGCCGTCTCGGGTCCCCGTGGGGCCACCGAGCCGCGGGGCCGCGGGGGCCTCCTCGGAGGCAAGTAAAGAAGTAGCCTCGCGCGGGGCCGCGGGGCCCTCAGCGTGGCCGCGCCCGACCGGACCGCCCAGACCGAGCAGGCGGGCAGCAACGGGCGCGCAGGTATTTTCAGTCACCCCGAACACACATCATCAGAGAAAGCCAAGCCGCGCGCATTCCCGTCGCCAGGGTGAGCCAGTGCAACGCGCACGCACTCACACACACGCGCGCGCGCGCGCGCACACACACACACACACACACACACACAATTTCTTTATCAACAATTATGAAAAATGAGAAGCCGTCGATTTTTCAATAGTGTATCAGACACACACACACCTCTCTTCACACACATGTACACAGACAGTCAGACGCACTCACACACAGACACACACACACACAGACACACACACACACAGGGTGAAGGCGAGGAGCTATATTTTGGCCTAAAAGCGATCCGTATCGACGGCGGCAAGGTGCCGTCTCCTTACATTTTCTTGTCGCCTCTCCTCGGAAACAAAAACGTCCGTCCGTCTGGAGTGACGCAACCTAGAGTGACGGGCGTAACGCCGTGTAGTGCACCGCGTCCAGGACGGCTGCGGCTCGTCCGCCCCGCCCCGCCCCGCCCCGCCCCGCCCCGCCCCGCCCCGCCCCGCCACGCCTTTCTCGCGGAATGCACAGGCCACATCAATCAATGGAGGCGGGAAGGAGAGCGTGGCGGCGAGGAGGCGGCCATCGCGCCTTTATGACTACAAAATGACAATTTTCCACCGCCTCCGTCGCTCCAGTGTCGCTCCAGCGTCGCTCCAGCGTCGCTCCAGGCTCAATCCGCCGCTGGAGAAGCGCTCGCACCGCGCTGGAGTGGCACTCCAGGCACCTGCCGCCCATCAATGGAGAGACAGACAGACGGACGGACGGACAGGCTCACAGACAGAGAGAGAGAGACAGACGAAGAGGAACAGAGACGCCGCTTTCCCGCTGCAGCGCGCTACCGCTCCCAAGGACAGTCCGTCAAACAAATCGCGATTGTTATTATCGTCGTTGTCATTGTGATTGAAGTCGCCGTACCCAGACTGATTCCGAGAGTCGTTTTCGTCTCTCTCTCTCTCTCTCTCTCTCTCTCTCTCTCTCTCTCTCTCTCTCTCTCTCTCTCTCTCTCTCTCTCTCTCTCTCTCTCTCTCTCTCTCTCTTGGTCCATTGGTGTGGTCACACGCTCGGTTCGAGTCCCCCATTCAACGACTCTGGAGCTCAGAACGCGTCCGGGATTTCGACCGCCCGCTGTGTAGTGGCGGCCGCCCGGCCGCCTGCGAGGTGGGCAACCCGGCGGCACGCTAGCGCTGCGGCACGGCCTAAGCTGCAGGCGATTGCGATTGCGATTAATGACTGGACCACAAATGATCATCTGCCTTTCAGCAGCGACGCCGCCACGCTGCAGACCTCGCCGCCGTACCGCCACCGCCTTGGACGTCGCCGCGACGCAGTGCGCTGCCGGCCCGGGTTGGAACCTGCTGTCCGATGGGAAAGCTAATCCGAACATCCGGACATCGGCGGGGCGGGGTGGGGCGGGTTGGATCAGCTGGCCCTGCCTATGCGACAAGCAGCACTCTTTGCACCACCGCGACGGCGGCCACGGCAGCGGCCCGCACGCGATGAGCGAGCCCCGGGACAGTTCCGCCGCCCGGCAAGGCAAGGCAAGGCGGGCAAGGAAGGGGTGGGTCGCGAAAGGCGAAGCGCATCCGGGTGGCGGTGACGGTGGCGACGCCACGAAGTGACGCACGACGGCAAGGGACGTTGTTGTGGCTATCGACTTGGTTCGATGGGCTGAATTCGATGGCTGCAATCGAAAATCTCGGTACATCTACAACCAAAAGGCGGCAGGCGCGGTTTAAGGAGGTCCCGACAGGTGTGCGATTGTGTATATTTCTTTCGTAGCTCTGTTCCTGCTCGCACCCGTACGGGACGGCCCGTGAGTGCGAGGGGAGACAGAGCGGCGAAAACGACTCTCGGAATCAGCCTGCTGTGGACGTGCCGTGGCCGTGCCCTGTCGCGGCCGTTCGCCACGCCACTTTGTGAAATGGCCATAGGCTGCCGGACGTCGCGCGCAGGCTCGGCCACGCCGCCACGCCGCCACGCCGCCACGCTATTGGCGCGCCGATCCGCCGAACCGTTCCCACCGGGCCGTGGCGAGTCTGCAGCCAGAGAGTCGTTTTCGTCGCTCTGTCTCCCTCGCACCCATGCGGCGTGCCCTACGGGGGCGAGAGAGACAGAGCGACGAAAACGACTCTCAGTGTGCCGGCGAGTCGCGCGCCTCGCCGGTCCCGCTGCGCCGCCGCGTTCCGATCGAACCGCCGCGGTAATGATTGCGTCGCAGGAAGTGATAGGGGCGGCGCGGCGTGCGAATAGCGCGCCCTGCGAATAGCGACGCCGTGCCAAGTCGCTCCGTCTCTCTCGCACCTCCACGGCACGCCCCGCGAGTGCGAGAGAGACGGCGACAGGGACGCTCGGCGCCGTTATACACGCGACGGCGCGGACGCGGCCTCGGACGCGCCGGTGAAAAGAGGGAAAACAGTGGAGGGGGCGAAAATGAGCGGTAGTTGGTGGGATAACTTTACGCCGCGGCGTGTAAAGCTTGTTAGCCGATAGCCGCTGCCACGCCGCCGATCGCCAAGTATCTGATCCCCTTGTTAATTGTTTGGGATCGTGTTCCTCGGGGCGGCAAGGGGGAGGGGAGGGGGGAGGGGGAGGGGGATCTGCAGGCGGAGAGGGCAGCACTTTGACAAAATAACGTTTATCCTCGTCTCCGGCTCGTGGTGTGTGTGTGTGTGTGTGTGTGTGTGTGTGTGTGTGTGTGTGTGTGTGTGTGTGTGTGTGTGTCAGTACGAGCATTACGAACAGTTATCTCTTATATGCGCTTTCTCGTTGTGCTCAAATCCCGTGTGTGCGCAGTGCGCATAGTGCAGCGAAAATGTCGCTTGCTTTGCAGCGACGAGCCTCACTCAGGACGCGAGAGAGCCGTCTTTCGTGGCTCGATCGCCGGGGCGCAGGCGCGGCAGGGCGCGGCAGGGCGCGGCAGGGCGCGGCAGGGCGCGGCAGGGCGCGGCAGGGCGCGGCAGGGCGCGGCAGGGCGCGGCAGGGCGCGGCAGGGCGCGGCAGGGCGCGGCAGGGCGCGGCAGGGCGCGGCGCAGGGCGCGGCAGGGCGCGGCGGGGCGCGGCAGGGCGCGGCAGGGCGCGGCGGGGCGCGGCAGGGCGCGGCAGGGCGCGGCAGGGCGCGGCAGGGCGGGGCGGCCCCAGGGCGCGGCAGGGCGCGGCAGGGCGCGGCAGGGCGCGGCAGGGCGCGGCAGGGCGCGGCAGGGCGCGGCAGGGCGCGGCAGGGCGCGGCAGGGCGCGGCAGGGCGCGGCAGGGCGCGGCAGGGCGCGGCAGGGCGCGGCAGGGCGTGGCAGGGCCTGCGCGGGGAAGCGCCGGAGAAATGGTTGGCACGAGCCACACGTACCCAAACACGACTCGCCAGTTCTACCGAAAAAACGGGGGAAAAAGTTTTCGGAGGAACGGGTCGGGTCGGGTCGGCGAAGAGGATCTTCGCGGTGGTGGTGGCGGCGGCCGGCCGGGGGCAGTCAGGCCATAATACGACTAATAAGCCATCAGTCAGATTGAGAGACGAAGAGGAGGAAACCGATCAGGATTGACGTATCGCAGCGAAAAAAAAATGCCAAGAAAAAAACAAGCGGCGAGAAAAAGTGGTTACGTTGGGTCCTCTGGGTGGTGTGCCAACATTCGCTAACAAGGGAAAACGATGTCGCGCATGGAACTTATGGATGATAAAATTTGATGAAGATGGTGTGGGCCTTCTGAAGCAAGTCTCAGCAGACATGAGGAAATTCTCCGCAGCCTTCTCGCAGACGACGGCATCCAAGGACACCTGTATGTGTTTCCCCGTCGCGTATACAAAGTGTGCACAAGTTTCTCTCGGTCGCCAGACACATACTTTCATTTCAGGGGTGATAAGACCACTCTTGTGCAATGCCTAGAACCGCTTAGCGCGCTTAGCAGGGGTTTAGCATTCGCACCTACTCGCGCGGCACCGTGCCGAGTCGAGCCGAGCCGGCAGCCCCGCCGGCAGATAATTTTGCCGATCGGGTGTCCATGACATTACACGAAACGCTGCGCCAGGCTGGGCTGCGCCTTGGCTGCGCCTTGGCTGCGCCTTGGCTGCGCCCGTCGCCGACGCGCCTCGCATTCACATTCAGATTCACATTCACGGCGCAAGGCAGCGCACTACTGCCCCGCGGCCACAGCCCATGCAAAACGAATCTGAATATTTCTCTAGAAAAAACTTTGGAACTATCAGCTTGGCAATCGCTCAGGCCAGCCCATGACCTGCGTCTCGAAAGCCGAAGGAGGAGAGGCAGAGGGGAGGGAGAGCACTGGCAAAACTAGCCAGCGGTTAAAAAAAATCTTTTTCGGTGCAGATTTTGGAGCCTCTATGATCGTGCGTGGATGCGTGATGTGACGAGCGATAGTCGGACTACGAGGAAAATAATTTATGCGTGGTCTGTTTGATAGTGGATCCACTGATTTATTTAAAATAGAAAGACTCACTACTGTATCCAACAATGGGATCCGCTATCATGTAGTTTAGTACACTGCAAGAAAAAGTGTCAATACTAGTAGTACGTACAACTAAAGCACAACGAAAACTGTGAAAAGAAGTACAACAAGGATGCTAAAAAGTACCATAGTTGTGTCTTTGTTGTACTTTGCAAGTAC